CATGAGTAGGTTGGGACTTTTCAGCCTTCTCTCTTGCCCCTAATCTCTGGAGAGGGGAGATCAGCCAAACTTAAAGGTAAGGTTGATCACCTACAGCTAATGAATTAATCAATCATGCCTATGTAATACAGCCTCCATAAAACCTAAACGGAGTGGGTCAGGGAGCTTCCGGGAAGGTGAAGAAAAACCCCTCCGTGTGCAGGAGACTGCGACGGACACTCCCATGCTGTTCATCTGTGTCCTTTGAGACGCCTTTTATTATAAATTGGTAAATGTAAGTAAATCGTTTCTCTGAGTTCTCTGACCTGATCTAGTACATTCATCAAACATGGTTTGTGGGAACCTCAATTTATAGCTGGTTGGTCACAAGTTCCAGAAATCTGAACTTGCAACTGGCATCTGAGGTGGGGGCAGTCTGATGGGACTGAGCGCTAACCCTGTGGGAACTCAGGCCACCTCCAGGCAGGGTCAGAGCTGAGCTGAAAGAGAGAACATGGAGTTCTTGTCCACTGCTGAAGGACTGCCGGCTTGTGTAAGGGGACCCCCCGCCCCGATAAACCTGGTGTCAGAGGGTTCTTTGTTCTAAAAATACAGAAGAAGAAACTGAGTTTCTTTCTTTCTTTCTTTCCTTTTAGACAAATTCTCAAGCTGTGGCCCTGGATGGAGTACTGTGAAAATTAATATAGTTGTTATTTTAACTTGCTGAGACCTCCTTTTTAGTTCCATTGGTTAGCTATCAGTCGAATCTCTTGATTTTTCCTGCATCTATCCCCGACGTGACTCCGTCCTGAACTCTTTTCCTCATTTGCCCTTATTGCTGGTGTAATTTCTATAGTTGAGGACACAGAACGTGCTAAGAGGAAGAACTCCGTGAGGGGAGGAGCCGATGGTGGCGTCTTCACTCGCAGGTCATCACTGAGGCTGGAGCCCTGCAGTCCATGTGCCTGAGCCAGTGTGTTTATATGTTACATACGCATGAAGTGGTTTAAAAAGATCCCAGGAAAGTATCACTGAAGATAATACAGGAAAGGTATAAACAACCAAACAACTGATAAAGCTGACACTTTCATTACTAGAATAAAGCTTTGACAGCCACATTATGAAGTAAAAAGAATTACCTAATTAGAACACACTGCTCTTACTAAAAATGTAATTATCTTATCTCTTAAAATGTATTCTCTATGTGTTATATAAAGTACAGAACATTAGCACACGGGTGCATATGTGTATTACACACTGAATTGTACCCTATTATACACTGAATTATATCCCCTCAAATTTCGTATGTTGAAGCTCTAACCCCCTATGTGGCTACAGTTGGAAATAGGGCCTTTAAGGAGGTGATTAAAGCTATGAGAGGTGAAGGGTGGGGCTCTATTCAGCATGACTGGGATCTGGGCAAGAGAAAGACCACAGGGACATGCACACCGAGAGAAAGGCCGAGGAGACGGCAGGGAGGAGCCCAGGAAAAATCAAACCTGCTGACACCTTCATCTTGCTTAAGACTTCTAGTCTCCAAGCTGTGAGGAAGTAAATTTCTGAATGTTTTTGTTACTGTTTTTTAAAGCTACTTAGTCTGTAGTACTTTATTACGGCTGCCTTAGCAGACTGACACGTCTATATTTTACATATACAGTACTATACACCACGTATACGGGGATATATTTCCTAAATGTGCTACCAGTGGGGCAGATGACCACAGCGTGGAGCCTTCTCAAATACAGAACTCAAAAACAACTCACACACCAATCTCTGAAAAGAGTTACCTAATATATTCCAGCTGAACAAGGGACAAAATGAAAAGACCAGAAGGTAGCACTGAAATCATTTAATGTGGGAGGAAGCACTTCTAGGAGGGCAGAATAAAGAACTCTGAAAATCCGCTCTTTCTGAAAAGCAGTGAGTTTGGCAAAAATTGTCAACATCAACTTTTCCCAAATGTGACGTATTAACTTGCAGCAGTCTGAGGAATGCTTATTCAGGAAAAACAGCTGAATCTTGATGAACAGAGCAAGCCTTGTGGGATTTAACTTGCCTCACTCTCCTCTCCTTCTCCAAATTTCACAGTATCTTGGAGAACCAACTGCCTCACAACCACCTGAGGGCAAGAACAGGAGCAGAGAGAACGGTCACTAGTGGGCCTGCCTGGCCGCTCCCTGGAAAGGCTCCACACTTTTATTTGATCTAAGTCAGAGAACACTCTGTGAGAACAGCATATCACCATTTGTCAAAACAACCAGTGGCAACGGTTCAGCACTGCAGCTGTCCGAGGCCATGGCACTAGTTTGGACTAATAAAAAGCTGATCAATTTCTATATTTGCTGTAGAGTATAAATTTTTTTTAAATAATAAAAAAGGAACACTAATCAAAAAACTGAAAAGGGAAGACGAGAGAATGAGACATTCATGGAGAGGGGCAGGCTCTGAACAGCACCAACGTGCCCCTAAGAATCTAGACGGCCGTGTGAAGGTGGAGGCTCTAACCGTGCCCAGGAAATACCCGAGAAGGCCCTGAAAGCTCCTCTCCACAGACATCAGGCCCCGCACAGGAGGAAGTGAGGGCGAAGGCAGAGCTGTAAGCTGTCTGCCCAGTGTCAGCAGCATAAACAAACCAGTGTGGGGGAGGGTCCCGATCCTGCGTGCATGCACATGTGCATAGGAACACATACAGCAAGGCTGTCTGGAAAGCATCCGACCATGTAATATGAAAGACAGAGACATGCACATTTTTTTTTTCTTTTTTAAGAGACAGGCTCATGCTATGTTGCACAGGCTGGTATCAAACTCCCAGGCTCAAGCATCCTCCAGCCTCAGCCTCCTGAGTAGGTGGGATTACAGGCACCTACTATGGCACCGAACCTCTGATTATATTAAATCTAATAATACTCTTATAATAAAAAAAATTATGAGACATACAAAGAAGTAACAAAAATACAGTCTAAACACAATTTTTCTACAACAGTCAATGTAAAACCGTCCTGAGAAAGCCTAGATGTTGGACTTCTTAGACAAAGGTTTTTAATCAGCTGTTATAAACAAGATCAAAGGACTAATACTATAATATGGATGAATTCTGAAGACGCTACGTAAAAGAACTCAAGCCAGTTATAAAAAGGAAAATACAGTGTGATTCAGTTACTCACAGAAAAGGAGAATGGCAGTCACAGGGACTGAAGGAGGGAGGAATGAGGAACTGCTGTCTTAACAGGTATATAGCATCAGAGAATCTTCAATTAATCAGCAAAAAAAAAAAAAAAAAAAAAAAAAAAAGGTTTGGTGCCAGTAGCTCAGTGAGTAGGGTGCACCAGCCACATACACCGAGGTGCAGGTTCGAGCCTGGGCCTGGGCCTGCTAAACAACGACAACTGCAACAACAAAAAATAGCCAGGCATTGTGGTGGGCACCTATAGTCCCAACTACTTGGGAGACTGAGGCAAGAGAATCGCTTAAGCTGAAGAGTTTGAGGTTGCTGTGAGCTATGACATCACAGCACTCTACTGTGAGCCTCTGTCACACATACACAAAAAAATCAGCAAAAATGAATAAAAAGAGACCTAGGCCAAAGCAAATTATGTTAATTTTCAAGACACTGAGATAAAGGGAAGACCCTAAAAGTTTTCAGGGTAAACAGAGCCAAAGGATAGGAACTGAATAGCTAACTTATCAGTAACACGGAGAAAAGTAAAATTCTGCAGGAAAACTATTTCCAACTAGAATTCTATACTCAAACTACCAATCAACTATGAGGAAAACAAAGAATTTCAGTTAAGCAAAGTTTAAAAAAGCTTATCACCTATATAAGCTTTCTCAGGAAACCATGAGGGGATTAACACCACAGAAATGAGGGGATGAACACGGGAGAGGAGCACACGGGAGGCAGGGGACAGCGGGACGGAGACCGATGGGCTCAGACTGGACACGTGGCTGTCTGCAGAAGAGCACTAGACAACAGGTTAAGAAAACAGACAGGACAACCGTTAACTCTGAAAAGATTCTAGAGAACATGAACAGGAAAACACAGGAACAGGAAGAGAAAGGTGATCACACGTGGGTTACCACGTGGCTCAGCTGCGAAAAGCACCTAGATGATAACAGTAAGGTGAACAATACCAATGACTTAAAGACAAAGATAAAATTGTCTCAGAAGACTCAGGGTATAGAAGTGATAGCATGGGGCAAAGGGAAGAAAAAAGAAAAAACCTCATCTCCTACAGAGGGTAATCCATAAATAAAACCAGAAAGTGAAAAATCAAAGAAATATAGCCATGCCATTTTGAAAATGGACCTAAGCAGCTAACGTGACAGAGGTCAAAGTGCAGAAGAGGAAATGGGGACCCTACGGAGAAGGGAACTTGCTTGCAGCTTGTTTGTAATAACCTTACAGAACTGTCTCTAAATAATAAGCTTTTGTTAAAACTATTAGATAAAAACAAAGCGAGAAAAGAAAAAAAGAAGTGAAGGGGCTTATCAGAAAGAGAAGGAAATCCCCAAGACATGTGAATTTAAATGTCAAATAGTGAAAACTTCAGTGTGTTGCAAGCGTTTTTCTGAAACTGAACTCAGACCAATGAGCACATTACTGGAATATGAACGTCCATCCTCTCCCAGTGTTGATTACAGACAGAATTTTCTCAGTCTCACCTCAAGCAGAGCTGCGGCAGGGTCGCCTTGTAGACTTTTCCCCAGTTTGTCAACCTCATCTAACAGGAACACTGGGTTGTTGACCCCGACAGTCTTCAGACCATTGATTATCCGACCGGGCATGCTGCCCACGTAGGTGCGCCTACAGAGAGAGCAAGCAGCACAGTCAGGAGGGGAGGGCACAGCAGGTGGGAACCAAAACCCAGAACTCACAGTCATTGAGTGATCACCATAACACCACACAGAGGTGCTACATATTCAAAAGGCACTATCTCAGGGCGTGCCTGTGGCTCAGTGGGTAGGGTACCAGCCCCACATACCTAGGGTGGCGGGTTCAAACTCGGCCCTGGCCAAACTGTAACAAAAAATAGCCAGGCGTTGTGGCTGGTGCCTGTAGCCCCAGCTACTGGGGAGGCGGAGGCAAGAGAATCCTCCTAACCCCAGGAGCTGGAGGTGCTCTGAGCTGTGATACCACAGCACTCTACCAGGGGCAATAAAGTGAGACTCTGTCTCTACAAAAAAAAAAAGTTTGAGGACGCTGTGAGCGGTGACACCACACACTCTACTGAGGGCATAAAGTGACACTCTGTCTCTAAAAAATAAACAGAAAACTCTATATCACATCAAAAAGTTATCACTATTCCTACCTTAAATGTCAGTAGTGGAACGACCCACCCTTCTTACTTGCAGAGGGTGAACAGAAAGCTACTGTATTTCTCTAGGACATTTACAATGAGTTGTCTTCACCTTGAGAAGACACTGAATAAAAGTAAATGTCCACAAAAAGTCACAGATTCAATCCTCATCTTATTTTCCATTTAATTCTGGCTACAAGTTGCCCCTGATATTGAAGAATCGCATTTGATTTTCAGGGTGAAACAGAAACACACTACACCTGAGGCACCAGTTGTGGTTCTTACTCTTTAAGGCTCCAAAATGTCCAAAGGACCTTATGAATTCAATTCCTGTGCTTTTCATGGTTTTTCAAAGCCTCGACACCCCCCACCCCCAGCATAGCCACCCTTTCACACGCTGAAATGGCTCCCCCAGGGCTGGATAAAGCATCACCACCTTCACAGAGAGATTAACATCGGTTCAAAGGGCCACTTGGAATATAGACACGCCGGCCAAATTCCAAACTCTTTTTTAAGAGACAATAATCTGTTATTAATTGTACTAAGAGGATCGGGAGTCAACATATTTATACAAAAATTACATTATTCTGGCAGTGGTCTGATGTTTTGGTGAACACTAAAATGCTAGGTGCTGCTTTATCACACTGAACAAAGATCACCCAGGAAATCGTGACAGATGCAGAATGTGGCATGAAATACAAACAAATATGTCTACCAAACTGAAAATGTGCCTTTTACAGAGCTGGCAAAACTTTATTTAAGTAGCCATTTACTAATTTTAATTACAACCTTGCTGCCTAAGTCACATATGCACAAAGCAAACGCTGTTTCTGAAGAGGCATCAAGGGCTGAGTGCTGGAAGAACAGGATGGTCCCTCAGTGCAGCAGAGGCAGCGGCCGCAGCGGCGTCCCACGGTCTGCACAAGGCCGACCCACAGAGGAGGCCTCCAGGCTGCCACATGACTGGCATGAAGTAGGACAGAATAAACAGACTGACCTTTGAAAAGACAAGGAAGCCTTAACAACCGCGTGGGAATGCCTTTCATCAGGGAAGGGGCAGAGGCACTGAGACCGGATCTTGTTACGATAAGGAATTAGCACCTTCAAGATTTCACAATGAGATCTGGACTGCAGGAAGGACGAGACTCAAAGTTAATAAATTCTTTCAAATTATTTCTCTAGAGAACTTACAGATCTGATTTTAAGGAGTGGCTGGGAAAGGCAATTTATTAAGAATCTCAAAAACTCAGCTCGGCCACCTGTAAGTCAGCGGCTAAGGCACCAGCCACGTACATTGGAGCTGGGAGGTTTGAACCCAGCCTGGGATGCCAAACAACAATGACAACTACAACCAAAAACACAGCCGGGGCTTGGTGCCTGTAGTTCGGTGGTTATGGCGTCA